TACTTATTCAGAACAGATAAGGTTGAGTTTATGTAACAAAAGTTAATGTGGCTAGCAGCATGTTTTGGGTTGACTACCTTATCAGGCATGGAGGCTCTCATCATTGAGCGGACATCATTCTGGGAATTGTAAGCGACTGCTTGTTTTCAGGCCCGTCACTCTTAACCCTGAAGATTGAATGAAATCTTTTGCCACTTAAAATTCCATGAACTCGGTCATCTTATCGTTTTTTTTCTTAACATAGTGGCCGTTACAGCAGGAATCTCTTTCTAGCCTCTAGGCATTGAACCCAGCGAAAAAGGTTGAAATGCAAACGGGAAAAAAGTTATCTTAGGATTGAGTCGGTTTTAAATAGAAATAGTGCAATTTACGGCAATAGCAAATAAAAGTTTACGGCCTCAGCAATTCTGGTAAAAAAAAGTGAATTGGAAGAGGGATAACTTATCATAAAAGATCACATCCGCTCTATGACTAACCAGCACCTATAGCAGTCGCGACTATACATTAAACCACCCAGTCTTGAATACCACCAAGGTTACTAATGAGACCTAGGCGATGTCGCAAATGCATTCTACCCTGGACGAGATTTCCCTTTGGGAAATGGTATCTTGATATCTCCTCATATTATTATGGGAAAGTTGAATTATCAGTTCGTTATGAACTTAGGCGAACTAGAGGGAATACAGCTCTTTTTCAGCATGTATATCGGCGATCGCCCGGAATGTACACGGCAATTTGTAGCAGAAGCTGGACGCTAGGCTACATTTAAGGTTTTCATAATGGAATCGGTCTGTAGATGAGTGATGCAAGTTGGGGCATCAGTTGAGACTGCACAAGACGAAAAACAGGTCGGAATAAGGACCCACCTTTTCTCTGATTGTCTTTCGAAGGCTCTCACGTTCTGCCTCCTGCGCCTCAAACTTCTCACGCCGCATTTCCTCAGCCTCGCGTAGGGCTGCCTCCATTTCAGCGCTTACACTGCTCGCCATTCCGCCATCCCGTCCAGCATCGGGGCTGCCGTCTCCAGAGCCACCTTCACAACGCAATGGGGCAACACTACTCAAAGCTCCTGTGGCCAAGAGAAAATGTAAAAGTCAGGATAATTGATCCAATGAGACCCAATTTTATTCATCTTTATGAAATTATCTAGCATTTATTTCATTCATTTCGTATACAAAAGTATTGTCCTTAAACCTGACGCAACTTCATGAATTTTAAACTTAATTCAAGAGTTGGTCACATCGAAATTAAATAATGATGTCAATTGGAATGGAGAACACATGTCTTCCTATTTTTATATAAAGTAGGCTTATAAAATATAAATAAGAGTTCAAGGTCCCCTAGATCTCATAAGATGATGAAAGTGGAAGATGAATTTACCCACAATGATATGAATAAATCTCACGTTTCCATTGAATTTCACATAGCCTTGCTTTCCAAAAGGTATTCTCATCCAGGCTGGACTGCAGTTCCGACCTCGCTTGGATCTAATCTCAACGCCATTTAGAATATAACATCATACGATCTAGGGCGATTGTAACTCTTACACATGCTTTCCTAGTCGACAATCCAAGTAAAAAGTGTGAATTGGAATATGCTAGGTCATCCCTTGATGTCTCACCGGCCCTGTGATTTATGGGCAACCGAGATCGTGTTGGGGAGTAGCAACATTGCCGCAATATCCACGAGCCTAGTTCGAATCCCGCTGAGGGTGATGATGAGGCCTAGATAAGGTTGAAACTGTAGTTCAGCCTGAATATCATAAGCTCTTAGGAGGCAAGGTAACATGAGGCCTACTTATAGTATTGTAGAAAAATCCAAATATCAATCCTCAAAAAAGCCTTAAGCGCATGATCAAAATGGTCTGGAGTAGATAAAGGTAAATAGAGTTGGATATACTAGTTTGGTAGATTCCTTTAGTAAGCTCATTACAAGGTCATTTTAAAACTAATAAAGGTGTGCTCAAAAAAGACTATTAATATTTCATAATTTTTACAATTGAAATAAATATTCGGTGGTATGAAGACCAATATGGTGTGGTCTTTTGTGTGGTCGCAGTCTCTTTTCATTGAAGAGAAATTTTTTGACCTTGTTTTCGCAACATTGTCATATTGGTAGGAAGATACCACAATTGTTTAGCACATGTTTGGTCAAAGGATCGGCTTCACTTGTCTCTTTGACGAGTTGTTGTATGGTGCTACGAATGGCGGACTCACTGACGATGTCCGACTACGATGCCGGCGAAAAGTTAGGGAACGTACCACGTCCATGGTTCAACTTTTGGAATGATCATACAGACAATGGACTCCGGACTAAGTGCGTTCCTCTAAGTCTTTCTACCAATATGATCATGTTGCGAAAACAAGGTCTAATGACCTCTATGAAATAAATAGTGTTTTTGAAGGTATGGAGATGTATGATATCTTTGTGAATAAAAGTTGGGCTTCGAGGAATCTCTTGTTTCATAATTATTGAGCTTATTTCCATTTCGAGTGAAAGTGTTGGGTGAAAAGATTCGAAGGCATTGAAGTTGACATATGACCTTAACTAACCAAATCACTTAAAAATTGATCAGAGGCCAGATGCAGTATATATACCACTTTTTATGGATTTCTCGGTGAGTTTTCTTGACTCGTCAGCTTGAATTTTGTTGGGACGATGTTACCTCGCTCTGATGATGTCCTCAAATGACGGACGAAAGCTTAGCACCTTTTCACCGGAATCGAAGGAAATTGCCTTGGAAACAGCGTCAACATGAAGCTTCCAGTAAAGCCAATCGACTGCTGGTCAAGAGGAACCCACCGTCGTCTTCTGGTGGAACCGACCTTCGAATCTCTTCACCCAACACTTTCACTCGAAATGTAAGTAAGCTCAACAAGTATGATATCTATCCTCATGTTCTCTCAAGTCCATTCTCGCTATACCAACTTCTAACCTGTTTACTTTTCCATACTCCAATGATGTGTTTTTTTGAGCGAATTTGGTGAGTCTTAATCATACTCCGCGCTTGCTTCGTCTTTCGCCCCTCTCCACTCTATACGAAACGTTCATCAGTTTGGCCTATTCAGTCTAAAATATACTTTATCCCAAACGACCCGTCTCTTATCTCTCCGATTCAGTGATTGAACTCTGTTGCTGCTACCGTATCCATGCTTCTTAAGGCGTGATTTCCAATCGTAATTGTAGCTTACTGCTAAGACTGACGAGACTCACTGGCGAGACTCACTCACGAGGCTCACTGAAGATGCCAGCCAAACGTCTGGGAATCTAATAAGTCCACGCTCCGACACCGAATATTATCATGGCTAGTATGCCAGAAGAATCTGACCGAGGTGAATTTAGCTAGGTCGTCCTGACAACACGACCAGATTTCGAAATTTAGGTCAAGCCACAAAATAAACAGCCATCAGTAAATCGTGAAAAAAGTTAAGCTAAGTCAATCCGACTTTATGCTAGTCGGTAAGAATAGTCAAGATGTAGAGATATGAAGAGAAGTTTGGTATCAAAGAGTCCCTATAAAGCTTGATAATATCATACTATACTCAGCATAGGTTACATAAGGTGATGAGGGACTGATAATGGAATTTAGCAATTCGGCCAGTAGACCTTCATCACGTGCAACCTAAGATGAATATAACCCTACTCTATGCTCTACTGGTACATTCGAAATCAACTCACTACGAAATTGGATATTTCCATTTCACTTGAAAAGACAAGTGAAAGGCTAACCAAAAATCGAAAAGGTTATGATTGTGGGATTATGCGAAGAAGACCTTGGCTCACCGTCCTTCGACCCCGATAAATCCATACAGACCTTCCGTCAGTCAAAGCCAGAAGCCATTATTTACAAAAATTCTCTAAAAAGATAAAATCAAGAAAGGTGGTCGGCTAAAAGCCTCCTTACTTATTATGCTTAACCTTACGATCTCAATGAGGCGTTACATGATTCGGCTGGCCACTTTATGCAATAAGATGATTAAGGATGCATGAGACGAATACGTCTGTGTCTTAGGTTATTGGAAACATATGAGCTGTGTGATTGCACTGTTTCTGAGTTGGTTGACATGCTATAATCAAAACCAGACTCTGTGTTAGTCCAGACTTTGCCTCTTCCTCGATATTATGTTTTTCTCCTATTCCCTTTCCGTAATTCTTCATAATAACCAGGGGAATTTGTGGTTTACTTTTATGCACCCATTTATTGTATTCAGGATGCTGTCAATTTCTATCGACTCACTAATCTTCCACCTTTTCTTAACGGCTCCATATCCTGTACAATGTCTGGTTTTAAACCACTTTATCTGGTTTCCTGTCCTAATCATACATTCAGCCACCTTCGATTTATGGACCCATTAACCTTTGGAGGTCATTTTGTGCTCAAATAACGCCTTTTGTATGGGCAAAAATTAAATATATATAAAAGTTTTGCAGACAAACAACGCAAATTCGTCGACAATCGTAGAACTCGCGTTAAAATTGCAGGATTATACACTATGAAACAGCTGTGACCACATTCATAGCTTTCTTATGCATCAACTTCACTCATCTGCATGCGTGTAGGGTAGGCATGAAAGGAAAAATAAAATCAAGCGTTGCCTCATTAAAATCTCAGACTTAGGTTAGCAAGTAATAAGGATTTCAGCCGGACGCCTTTCTTGGTTTGTTACTTTTGTAACTTTTTATTAGCTGATGGTCACTGCCTCTGGCATTGTCTGTCACGGGAGAACAGCACAGATTCACACAATCCTGCAGCCACAACTCCAGGGCTTACGATGAGATCTTTATCCGAATTTCTTTCATTCGCTTTTTCCAGCCAAATAAAAGCTATTTCAACATCAATAAGTAAACGTTTTATACACAAGTTGCTAGCCAATTAATTTGCTTTATGGCTAAATTAGTCAAATAAAGGATATGTTTAGAGTTAAAAATATTGAAATATTGTGTTATATATTGTGTATAACTAAAGATAGAAGTGGATAATCAGAGGATTGGGAATTACAAAGGTGGACATGGTAAAGATGTTTCTTAGTGGCTATCATCAAGTAGACTCAACTAGTATGGCAGATAACTGCTTGCTAGCATTGACTGACATGCGAAAGGTTGAAAGGCAGTAGAGCGGTTTATTAAACTACAGTAAATTTATTATTCTTCTAGAGGAAGCGATGGTAGCCAAAATATTATTAACTCGAAAGCATTTACGTATAAACAAATCAAATTTGATTTTGAATAAACTGAATCTAGCGATGAAGATTGTACTTTGGGTAGCTACTATTAAACCTCCAATGTCTTTCAACTATTTGCATAACCTTCTCTTAAAAAGCTCATAGTTACAGGCGAATATTTACTTGTACATAGGAAGAAAAGTTGGCTATCAAGGAATCATAGGTTTCTTAAGTGTTGATCTCACTTCTATTTTGAGAGAAAAAATGTGGTGAAGTGGTTTGAAGATGAAATGCCACCAGAAAACGACAGCTGATTCCTCTTGGACAGCTGTAATCTGGCATTGCTAAAGCCTTCAGTTGATGATATCCTCAAAACGATATCCTTTGATTCCGAATAAATTTTACATAGTTCTTTTTCTGTCATAGGACGGATAACTTCAAAGGAGTTTATCATACTTATGACTCATTTAAGCTTAAAAGTAGAGTAAACTCGCTGGCGCTTTCCTACATGTGGTATACATACATGTACACATGTATACGATTTTGCATGCATTTCCGAAAGGAGAAAGATTAAAGTTAACACAGTGGTTGCGTTCTGGTCAAATTTAAATTTAAATCGCTTCACGGCACACTTTTAGGCGAAATGGAATTTAGATCTCCATACTTGACTTGTATTATTTTGTGATGAACAAGATAATGCCATCGATCAACTAAGAACCCTAATGTTTTCGCTGGACCTGCTATCTTGCGTTAACAAGGTGATTTTTGGCCATCTAAGTTTTTCATCTTTTAGTACAAGGTTTATTATCACTAAAGGGCAAATCAAAATAGCTAATCTAAATTTCGGCAGAATGGCTTTAAAGGTACATAGTTTGCTTAGTCCTCACCCTGAATAAATTAAAATTTTTAAAAATAGCCATTAAGCTAGCCTACGCAAGTGAGAGTTTTCCTAACAGTTTTAATTGCAACTAACAAAAATTTAGTATCAACATTATTTAATTTTATTTAAACATTATTTTTTATTTCTGTAATATTTCTATTAAATAT